GTACCAGACAAATGCTAATTCTCTGACCAAGCACTTAAAATTGATCCACGGACTTTGCTCTGGTAAGACACTTCGTCTTAAATGTGGTCAGGCAGGTTGTGCTCAAGTTTATGGCACATTTTCTGGGTTCAGAAAGCATCTCAATAAAGCACATGATAAACACACTTGTAATCCTGGTGAAGGCCCATCTACAACTGAAGAGACATTTGAAAGTCAAAATTTGCCCTCTATGAGTGCTGCTTCTGATACAGTCCCGCTTCAGAAATCTCTTGTGCATAGTTGTGCAACAGCAGTTGCAGAACTTAAATTTGCAGGTGTAAGTGAAAGAGCAATTAACTCTTTGGTAATTTCCCTGGAAGAAATAGTTAATGATTTTCAAAATCAAGCAAAAGAATCTGTGAAAAACAGTCTTTCTTTACAAGAACCTGTCAAAAGTGACATTGAGTGCAAAATTGATCAATGTTTTGAGAAAATGGAAAATCCTTTCAAGATATTAAATTCTGAAAGTAAAAGAACTCGTTTTTTGGCAGATAATTGGGGACGTGTAGACCCAGTAGAATATGTCCTTGGTTCCAGATTTGATACACTGCGCAGTCAAACCACAGGGGGCTATGATCAGGTGGTTGTTACAGATAAATTTGTTTACATCCCAATTTTGGAAACATTAAAGTTTATTTTTAGACACCCTAACATAGAGGAGATGATGGCCAAGTCAAATTCAAGTGAAACTCTTAAAGACTTGTCTGATGGAGAACTTTTTAAGAGCCATGCTCTGTTTTCAAAACAAAATCATGCCCTTCAAATTCAACTTTTCTATGATGATTTCGAAACAGCTAATCCTTTGGGATCAAAAAGGGGAATACATAAATTGGGAGCTATATATTTCACACTGCGAAATTTTTCTCCTAAGTACAATTCTGCTCTACACAATATTCACTTGGTCTCTCTGTTTCATGCGCAGGACATTAAAACTTACGGCTTCTCTAAGATACTTGATCCGATTGTGGAGGATGTTAAAATCCTGGAGAGGGATGGAATTACTGTTCCCATGTATGATGAGCCAGTACGTGGAACTATTGTCCAAGTTACTGGTGACAACCTTGGTCTTCACTGTCTGTTTGGTTTTGTAGAGTCATTTAGTGCCAGATACTGTTGCCGCTTTTGTCTCGTTGAGAAAGAGGACTTTCAGACAGAGTTTACAGAGGACTCACCCAAGATTGTTATGCGAACTAAGGCACTTCATGCTGAACATTGTCAGAAAATGGAGGCAAATCCCAGACTTCCATATGTTATGGGTGTTAAAAAGTCATGCATTCTAAATTCACTACAGTACTTCAGTACATGTGAAAACTTCTCAGTTGATATTATGCATGATATCTTGGAAGGAGTGGCACAATATGAAATGAAGCTGATTTTGTTGCATGTAGTTGACCAGTACACAACATTAAAGGATGTAGACAGGAGAATAAGGAGCTTTAACTATGGCTACATGGAACAAACCAACAAACCACCTGCAGTGAAGTTGGTAGAAGACTCAAATGACTTGGGGTTAAATGCCATCCAGTCCTGGTGTCTACTACGTAACCTACCACTCATCTTTGGAGACTTAGTTTGTCCAAATGATCAGCACTGGTATTTGCTGCAGCTGTTGCTTCACATAGTAAATATTGTTTTTTCACCAGTGTTATCAAAAGGCATTACTATTTTCTTAAAACACCTGATTGCCGAACATCACAGGTTATTCAAACATTTGTTTCCACAAAAAAAGTTGCTCCCAAAGCATCATTTTATGGTGCATTATCCTACATGCATACTCAAAATAGGCCCAATTCTACATAGCTGGTGCATGCGATACGAAGCTAAACACAATTTCTTTAAAAAACAATTGAAAAGTTTTAAAAATGTTACAAAAACCCTGGCATTAAAGCATCAAAGTCACATTGCTTTCAGTTGGCATACATTTGACCACAAGAGACTGACCATTGGACCAGGTAAAATGGTGCCTTTAAATGTACTGAAGTGGGGCTGTGAGATAGCAGAGACTCTTCAGTTACCAATCAACACCAAAGTATTAAATGTTAAATGGGCCAAACACCATGGAAATATGTATCGTGCAGATTTAGTTGTTTGTAAAGAAATGTTTTGTGAAATGCCAGTTTTCCATAAGATCTACAATGTTGTTGTGAAAGATGAGAGGTTACTGTTTGTTACATTTGCACTGCAAACAGTGTGTCTGAATGAGCATTTCAGTGCTTTTCAAGTTTTGTGTACAAGAGATGGACCTCATGTTATTTATGTAGAAGAGCTTTTCTGTGCCAGAGCTTTTGATTTACAGGTGTCATACAGTCATGAAGATGCAAATGTTTATATTGTTCCATACTGTTTCCTGTGAACAATAAAAATGGCTGTTCAAATACTGATTTCTGGTCTATGCATTGTACTCTTACAAACTCAGATGTGTATAATGGCTAAAAAAATTGCTTAGTGAGTGAAATAAAGTTACATTTTGTTCTATTTTACAATTTAATTTAATGTTTAACTGCACAATATGGAATAAAATAAAATTAGGAGTAAAATTTTACAC